TCCTGCTGAAGAAATTACATTTCATGAATATTCATTAAATGATGTATTAAATGCAGTGTCAAATAAGTAAAAGTTCTCACATTACGGACGGATGCAGGCAAAGAAGTTAGTCAATGAAACTAACAATAGAATAGGATCTTGAAATATAGGTACTCTTACCGGTAAATTAATGGAATTAGTAGATATTATGGTTCATAAGAAGATAAACATCTTATGTATTCAAAAAACTAAATCGGTTGGAGAAAAGACTAAGAAGATTGATAGCTTAGGTTTTAAACTTTAGCATTCAAGTAGAAGTCACACTAGAAATGGTATAAGTGTAATTATAGATAAGAGTTTGAAATATAATGTCGTAAAAATTAAAAGAATTGAAGATAGTTATAGCCCTAAATACTGTTATTGATACTAAATTTTTAAAGTAATAAGTGTTTATACTCCTTAAGTAGGTTTAAATATAGGTTCAAAAGAAAATTTCTAAAATAACCTAGAAGAATTAATACAAATGATATCTTATAAGAAAGAATTTTTATTGAATAAGATTTAAATGGATATATTGGTAGTGATAGAAGATTTAAAAAATATTCATGGTGATTACAATTTTAGAGTGATTGATAACAAAGTTAAATATAATATTAAATTTTACTTTAGTGTGCTTTTGTTATTGAAAATACTTTATTTAAGAAAAGAGATGAACATATTATTACTTATAAGAATGGATCTAATAACATTCAAGTTAATTATTTTTTTATGAGAAAAAGATATCGTCGAGAATGTGAAGATTGCAATGTCATTCCAGGTAAAAATTTAAGTATTTAACATCTATTATTAGTTTTGGATATTAAGATGATGAGTTATATGATAAAAAATAAAATGAAACATTGTCATAGAATTAGATAGGGCGCACCTATAAGTCAAATAAAAAAAATTTTATCAGCATAATTCAAGATTTGAGATTTTTATGAAGAAGTTAATTTATATAGGATAAAGTCACAAGCACTATTAAATAAGTAGCAAAAGTTGTGCTTGGAGAATCAAAAGAAAAAGTTATTACAAATAAAAATAGTTGAAGCTGAAATAATAATATGCAAGAAAAGATAAAACATAAGAACTGATATAAAAATTGGTTTAAGTGTGAAAGCTTAAGGGTTGTTTGGGATCAATTTTTATTTCTTGCTTTTATTTTTGAAAAAAAAAATAGAAAACAAACAAAAAAATAGTGTTAGTTTAACTATTTTTTATTTTATTCTTGTTTTCTTATTTTTAGAAATAACGCATATGTTTCTAAGATATCCAAAATAGAAAAAACATGTTTTTACAGATTTTAAAACACCTTAAATAGGCCCGTCTCCTTCTCGCGATAAAGCCTGATCCCTCCCTTTCCTCCTCACACCAGTCAGTCCTATCTGTCGATCACTCCCTCTCGGCCCAAATCACTAGCCTTCGACGGGATCGCATCGACGGAGGTCACTGTCCCCCCTTCCATCTCGGCCCCAACCCTTGCGATAACTTGCGATTTGCTCCTGCTAGAAAGGATGCGACGGGATCACAAGTTACAAAGGTCACCGAAACTCCATCGTTCTTCTCCTTCCGCATATAAATTGTCTGTTCGATTTTAATTCTTTTTAATCATCGCGTTGGAAGTAATGTCTGCCTTCGCTTCAAGATAATTGAGGATCTAACTTGGATGGTTATTTATGATGCTTCAGAGATGCTCGACTCTCCAAAAACAGCACATATCATCAAAAAATTCTTTATTAACTCAATTTGATTGCTCGGGTCATAGTTTTCACAATTCTGATGTAATGTAATATGTACGAACTATTGGTAATTGATTTGATTGGCTTTCTATATAATATTTATAAAGGTTGTAAAGGTTTATTTTGGGGGTTGTGACATCCCATATTTCTAACTAATATTGAATGAGAGTTCTATGTATTTTTATTCCAAAAGATATATGAACAAAATTAAGATGGTTTATTGTAGTTTGATAAGAAAGAGTGAAATTAGCTATGAAAAAGATACAAAGAAGTAAAAAATTTGGATCTACATGGAACACTCAGAAGTTATGAATAATATTCGATAAGTTTAGAAGATTAATAGGATGTTTTTTCAAAGACAGAAAGATAACCAAATAATTGTAGAAAAACATTTTGTTATTAGTATTTTAAAGCAATTAAAAATATATTTTCATTTTCAATGATATTTATTTAAAATTTCATTTTTATCTTAAAAAATGATATTTCATAAAAAAGTCTAAGGATGGTTAGTCCTTCCAAACTCACTATTATTATGTCATTGTATGTTGTGATGAGCATATGATATTTACGGCATAATAAAGCAATTTATAATGATTCAAATACTTATCCACTTATATATTATCTAGTTTGGACATATAATTATAAAATAAATTATTATATTGATACAACATTACATTAAGCCATGTATTAGAGAAGCATTTTAGCATGAGCATGCATAAAGTTATTGCTAATGCCCTTCGATAAAGTTTCCACAATTCTATTTGACCTTGATTTTATTGCTCAGGGTTGCAGAGAAGTTCTCATCTCCGAGCAGATGTAATGATTATATAATCTAGCTAGGAAATCCTTACCTAAAATTTCTTTATTATCTCAAATTTAATGTATGGTTTACATGATACTTCGCTTCCAACTCTTCTTGCCATTATGAATAATCTTTGCCATCTGCAACGATGAGATAAATGAATCATGAAACGATTCGATTTTGAATCCATGGGTATTCGTAGCATCCATGCATCAATGGTAGAGAAATAGTAGATGGCTCTGTTTGAAAATTTAACACAGCTAAATCAGCCTCCAGATTCCTTTTTTTTTGTCTCTACATCAGGCCAAACAGTCAAAATAACAACTTTTTATACTTTAGAATCTTAATTCTAATTTCTACTATATTTTGCCTCAAATCTAATAGATTTTACTACCCTACTAATCATAAATATAAATGCATTAGAACTGTTGCTATGTATATGAATAGTTGTCGTTACATGATGCTAATTTGGTATATAAAAAAGTTCAAGTGCTATCTACGTAATAGTTTCATGGCTATGTATGTATTTATTTCATGTGGATGTTAGGAGTTTTCTAAGTAGCAATGTCTCAAGTGCAATATATGTAATTCTATGGTTTATTAGGGATTTCTTATACTTTAGTATTACCTATAATTTTTTGGTGTTAATTGATAGGAAAATTTTGTTATACACGTAATGTGTGGAATGATTGAATGTGCACTGACATTTCTTTCTCATATATCAAGTTTGACTATGGATAATAGTGATGTAATTGTGAACACTAAAGAGGCAGTACGGTCAAATAGAAATGAACAAATCTTCATTCAAATTAAGGAAATTTAAGTAATTAGTGGGAATAGACAAACAACTACTTTCAGTCCAGTTGCATGGTTAGGCATTTCGCAAGGACTTGAATCATCTACAAAAAGAAAACATAAGCTAGAACAAGTGAGAAATAAGTTCAATACGCTTAGAACTAGTTCGAGAATTTTCAAACTAATTGAAAAAGACTGGAATTGGTGATAACGCAACCACAGACCAAGTGATTGCATATAAAGATGAATGGGCCTAGTTATATAAAGTATTTATTTCATCTTATATTCAATCCAAAATTTATATTTTATTATTTACATATATTTATTAATCATAATGTTTACTTACCGATTTATAGATCAATAAAAAGTGCAAAAATATTCCCAAGAAAAAGGATGTCTAATGTACGAGCCTCTCTGCCGTATTTATGGTGATACAACTGAAATGATAACTTCGCAACATCCTTCTACTAGAATCCCTTCAGCGCTGAGAAAAAAAGAAGAGATTGGAGAGGGTAAAACAAAATCTGTAGATGTTATGTAAGGAGAAGAATAAAAAAAATGACATGTTAAACGTGTGAAAAAGACAACAATTTCATATGTGATTGCCTCCATACTTCAAGTCGTAAGTGAGAGATGGAAAAGGACTACTATGATAGAAAAGAAATTATGTAGCTCAACTGGATCTTCTAATGGAAGCTTTGAATCTTTGTTGGTTGAATGTATGAACTTTCTCAATTTAAAAGAAGACCTAGATGACATTACCTATTTAAATGCTTTACAGAAGTTCCAAGAATATGCAATATGTATGCAGATGTTTCTTCATATGCCTGATGGCAAAAGGAAAGGCTGGATT